AGTCTGCTACATCCCTGATGGCAGCACACATAATTACCTACACATAACAAATGTTAGGGAAAAACAGTTTATGTTTCTTGTTTCTGAAAGAAAAAAAACACAAGAAATAAACCATTTAGATTGGATTTTAACATCACCAAATATTAGTATTGCTCTTAAAAATCCTATATTGGTCAGGCTCTAGACAGAAACAGCAAAATAACTACCCTTTTATCTGGAGGGGTTGCTAAGATGGCAGCAAATTGCTGAGTTGCACTTACAGAGGTTTAGTCATTCATTTATATGCCAAATGTTTAGTAGACACATTAAAATTAATAATATATAACTTAATAAAGGAAATAATCAATAAAGTAGCCCTAGTAGTATTTTTAAACAGACGCTACATGTGCTTCGTTAATGTAACCTTTTAAGAGATGGGATATCTAACTGTAAAGTGATGTAGCCATAAATGCTAGCTAGACACTCTTTAGCGGTGGCAACTGAGAACACTCTTATATCCCTAAAACATACCAAAGCCCCTGCTAGGAAGTAAACTGTTATCATGGGGGGTGAACCTCTTATCTGTGTCATATAATTACACCCGATCCTAAGAGCATGAGAAACTCAAGCACAGCAGAAATAAATTGCTTTGGAATAACTACTATTGAAAACTGTAGCTGAAGTCAGAGGCGGTGCACACACTGTAAATTTAGGCTACTTTGACAATCCTTAACAATGTGACTCTGACATATTTAAAACTGCCTTAGTTTGCTCATGCATTACATCAACATGCAGCATGACTTAGTTTACACTGAGCTCAGTAGTCACGCTTTGAGGACAATGCCAATGATATGAAAGGACGGAAGGGCAGATGGTCAGCAGGTAGGAAGAGCCACACAGCATGTTCTGACTACTGCTTTTCTGCATAGGATCACTACTAAACACTAAATCCTTTTAATACCATTTCAAGGTAAAATTTGCATTAGAAATGAGCCTTTCTGCAGATCCTCATGGCTGAACCAGGCATTGCTTCTGCAGATCTGTGGCCTTTCTGGGGCAGAAAATTGCACCGCAGCTTTTGTTCTGCAGAAATGAAGCCTCTCTGTGAAGGACTAGTATAATAACGTGGCTCCAACAACACAGAAATATATTCTATTTCAATGTTACTGTAATGAAATCGATTAGCCATTATTTTATAGCTGATGCTTGCTGGCTAAAGTCCACTGTCCTGTTTCAGAAAGGGAGCATTTTAAATGACACTCAAACTAATAAACTCATACACATGCACATTAGTGTATATGTTAGGAATTTTTTTGTTCTGTAATTTTTTGCTCTGTAATTTTTTTTTGCGATGTTGAAAGAAGACTTTGTCTCCTCTTTGTCCTGTACAAACAGTGGTCAGACAGGGTGACCTGATAAAGCAGGATAGAGATGTAAAGTAAAGCACCACAGTACTAGACTTTATGGATTACTGATGCTTACCAAGGCCAGCTGGCTGAAGCATTATCTTGGTCAGTCTGGTTAATTGAACGAGAGTCAGAGGGACTGGGGTGTCTCGAGTGAAAGCCATGGGCTTGACCTCTGATTACCACGTATGTAACCCATTATTCTGGTATCTGTGCACACCGGCTGTGCTGGGCAATTTATCTTTAACCGCATGTATTTGTTTAGGGGAGATGATAAGCTACCTGGTTCCTACTGGTCATAAGCTTTGTGGAAACGTTTTCCATGGCACCAGCAAGGTGTTGCTACCAAAATAAAGTCAAAATACAAATGGCTGTAACAGATGAGCGCATGAGCAGGGAGCCTGAGTGGCTGAATTTCCATTTATTACCATTTTGTGCTGGCAAACTGCAATTGTATGGCCATTTGCATGGCCAAGAGGAACAAGTGGTCAATGTTTTTCAAGGCTGTGTAGAGAGGGCCTCATTGTAGAGGGGAAATAGGAAAATGTTCAGTTTCCAGTGAGTAATGGAAAACGAGTGAGGCTTTTAGTTAAGGCTTTATCAAAATGTTCTCTATTCCTAAAAAACCAAACCGAGACGTCAAGTATGACATCACCATCACGTTCCTTTTTGCAAAATCTTCCTTTGCATCTTCTAGTGGGGATCAAGAGCAGGGCTAGACCTTGTAGCCTAATTCGTATTTAATACCCTGGAGGCTCTGATGCTTATGAAATTGTCTTTGGCATAAGCTATGGATCCTTCAATTCAATATCATCAAATGCCATTAGCAATAAGGATGGGCTCAGCAGAGGCTATACCCGGACTAAGCTACTGTTCGGAGGCAACACAAGAAGCATTTCACAGAGTCAGCACATAGGTGTGTCCCATATCATAATAGCCTTAGCTAAACCAGAATGACCTGAATAGCCCTGCTCGTGGTATGGGACTGGCCACTTGTTATCCGTGATCCTTTTCATAACTGGATGTATTTTCTATGTTTTTATAACCACTTAATTGAAAACAGGCAGGAGAAAGTTTCAGTAGATTTGATCGATCTTGACCCCTGCACTCAGTAAATGGATTTGTTTTCGTGTTGAAGTGAACCTGTCCTCTACCTAGTTAGCTACAAGGACTCAGGCAAGTCAACTAATTATAGTGCAGCTGGCAGCCGGAGATGAACACTGCTGTTGAGATAAATATGATGATTAACAGGACGTCCAGTCCCACTCCATTTAGTGAAACCAACACAAAGTGCACCTACTGCAAATGGAGCCAAGTTAAAATCTTACTTGAGCACTTGAAAACATAAGAGCTCAATGATTCAGCAAACTTGCCCTTGTATCACAGATCAGTTGAAAAAGCTCTGTTATGCAGAGGATGTCTGTAAAATCTACCAAGCACTAAATCCTTTTAATATTAGCTCGAGGTAGAATTTACATTAGTGTCAGAGAGCGGGGATTTCTAGCTGACAAAGTCTTGCAGTAAGGACATGTCTGAGATTAAGACCCCATTATTTTCTCATCAGGAAGGGCTGGACTGATGTTCCATTTTAGAAAACACCCACTTCCCCTTGATCTACAGCCAGACGCATGACACCACTCTAGCCTTTTCCATGCAGGCAGTAATGTCCACTGCTTGGCTGCCACCGGCCGAGCGTCTATTGCAAGGCTAAATGTAGACAGACAGCGGTAAGCTGAAGACACGTCAACCGTGCCCCATCTCACTCAGAGGTTAATTATGAACTGTGCCTTATTAGAACTGCGAACTTCCAGCTCATTTGAGCCATCGGCTATTTGTGTCCACAACACCGGCCTGTGCTCTTAACAAACAACCTTTGCCTTGGGAAATTTGCGCAAGAGTCACGAGGAAAAACTTACACAAAGTGAACAGCGACAGGACAGATGCCACACAACAGGAAAGTTTTTCTCGAGGCAGTGAAAAATATACAGCCCATGTGGCAAAAAAGGAGCTCTTGACATTTGTACTGAGGAAGGGGCAAGTCAACCGCTGTGATAATGCCTCTCCCGCAGGAGCTGAAAAAGAGAAAGTCCATTAACGGGGCTGGAAACTGCAATGAGGACAGTTGCTGCGTGGCTGCAAGCTCCCAGTGCTCCTACGCATTTATCCCACTCTGTCTGCATTTTCTTCCCTTTTCCTTGTTTTTAAGCATTACACTCTTTTCTCTCACACAGATAAAACATTCCCTCTGGTCCCTCCCCACCCAGACTGGTATGCAGCGCACTGCAGCAAAACTCCTGAAAAGAAAAAGGAAAAAAGCCAGCCAATCTGTCGGCTCTTTCCCACCTCCTTTCACCGGGGGTCCCGTAGCTCTGTGTCTGTCTGTCTGTCTGCTGTCCCAAACGCAGGACGCTCCCGGTGCTTCTGTGACGCGGAGCTACAGCGCAGCTCTCCCCTCAGCCTCAGCGACAGGAGTTAATGACCATGTGTTCTGCTGTCATTCCTCGCGAGCTCTTGACTGCTTCTGCCGGAGGTCCATGCCTAGACAGGGATTTTTCTATCAGTATCTCTCTCTCTCTCTCTCTTTCCCAAGCTGCCGAGCAAGCGAGCGAGGCAGGCAGGCAGGCGGGCAAGCAGGCAGGCAGGAAGCAAAGAGTGTCTACTCCAACTATCTGGCTGAAACACTTCCAGCCAACCCCTCCAACACCCCTAAAGCCAGCCCCTTCCTGCCCACCAGCCTGTGGCAAAGACCTGCCCCTTACCATGTTCAGCCAATGAAACAGCAGCTACTGCAAATCTGTGTCTCTCCATTGGAAGAGCACAGACTAAGTGATGGGGTGAAAACTGCTTTACAGTATAACAACCCCTGAATGCTGATCTGAAAAGGTATTTCCCCAATTTCACACCCTGCTTAACCAACTATCACAATATTTATTTCTTGTCTATTCTGATGATAATATTCAAAATGAAATCATCATTAACTGAACTGCATTTAATAGAATATAGATAAATATACATGTTTGATGTAATTAAAGTGTAGCTGCAGATCCATGCTGAATATCACGTCCATCGCCATCATCACCCCAGGTAACAGGATCACTACATTTCTTCCCTCGCCCCCTCTCTCCTCTACCTCCCATCAGCATCTGTCCTCTGAACTCATTTGCGACATCAACCAGACAGTCAGACAACTCTCTCCTCTGCTCTTAATCACCTAATTCTATCCCCCGCCCCACCTTGTCTCTTTATCCCTACCTGCATGTTTTTCTACATTTCTATAAGCTATCTTTCAAGCTCTATTTCAATCCAATTCCTGAGTTCGCTGGACTGGAAAATTACACAGTAATGAACATTTCTGTTATTGTTATTGCATCAGAATTAGCTTCGAGAAAAGTGAAAGGGGAAAAATAACATGACGGCGGCTGGTATTGGAAGGTCCCTTCCACCCAGCTGATGACATGCTGGCTGGCATCATATGAGCCGTGAAACTGGAGCGTCACAGAACTGATGAGTCAGAGATCCAGCTTCATGACTTTTCGATCCAGATTCAATAGAACAGCTGTACTGTCCGTCTCTCTCTCTCTTTCGCTTGCCGTCCATCCGTCTCTCCCTCTCTCTCTCCCTCTCTCTCTCCCTCTCTCTCTCCCTCACATACAAAGGTTGTGGATGACGCAGCAGCCTGGGTGTTTCGTTGACATCAATGAGGATAAAAATGCTTTACAGTTCCACAAGAAACAAACCTATCAGCTGTGTGATTAGGCTTTGACAGTTGATGCTCCACAAGCAAAACATTTGTCAAAATGTTGTGAGAAGATAGAGGCTCGGGGTGATTAATCCCATTCGGCATGAAAAAGTGTCTACTTCAGCAAATGATGCCGAACACTGACGTCATCTTAGGGATCAGGGCACCTGTAGGTAAATGACACAGACAAGCGCTCTGCCGCTGCATGAGGCACGGGCTGGGAGGCGGGGCTATGTCATCCTTTGTTGAAAGAAAAAGTGCCACCTTACACCATCAGTGAAAGTAGTTTCACTACTACCGTGTACACAATATCAAGCGATCATTTTAATGATCCTAGATGGTGAACATTAGTTATGACCTGAATATTGAATGTAAAAAGCAAAAAGCAACTTCCACGGATGAATGAAGCTTATCAATCTCTAATTTGCCTGCAGCCAACTTCTCAATAACCCTCACTGAATAACTGTCAATAACTGCATAACAAGCCAAGCCACTGCTAATTTCCACTGGCAGACCTCAGATAGCCTACCTCCTAAATAGATTTGTCCGACAGGAAAACAAACAAAAGCCTGGCAGCCAAACAAGCCGAGCTACTTCCTTCCCGCATGGTATCCCCTCCCCTCTTATTATCCCTGTCCTGTTTGACCCCAAACAGCTTGGCTCACTCACACACAACCAGATTTAGGATTCTGCGGCCCAAAGCAGCTTCATATTCAAATATAATAGGGGAATAATCTGAAACAATGGCTAATAGCAGAAAATGAAAACAGTGATGGGTTAAGACTGTGTTTGAAATACTCTCCCCCAGCACAGAACACTGTCTGTGTTTTTTCTGTTAGTTACATGCGACAGAAAGAGAGAGAGGGAAAAAAAGCGCTCAGAAATAGGGCAGTGAAGACAGATCAATGAAAAGGCAGCTGTCCTTTTCTATTATTAGCTGTAATCAAATATCAAGCAGGAAAGAGTTGTGCTTCCTTCCATTTGAAGCCCATTCTGATAAGTCTGTCAAATGCAGAGTCTGCATTAAAATATAGAAGAGCTTAATGGATGTAAGGGTCAACCAGGGCTTTTTTAAAAATAAAATACACACCAACAAAGCCATTCAAGTATATTTCATTCTCACTGAACTCATACTTTCTGGAAACTAATCTAACATTTGTTTTATCCTTTTCAACATTATTGAGCAAATGTTACATTCCTTATTATACAAAGCTCATTTTCCACCAATTACACTGTGCTGTTGAATGTCATGTCTTACTTGAGCTTTAATAACCACGACATATTCCATCCAAATGGCAAACCAAGGTCTGGTTTCCATATGAAAATAAAGACACTGGTGCAATGCTCTTCTGTGCTGCTGCTTTGCATGTTCACAGGGATTAAAAATTGTAAATAACCGATCAGAAGGTATTAACCTTAAATGTGTAAAGGCTCGAGCCTTTACACATTTCAAATGAGATCTCATTTGAAAAAGCTGCAATGGCTAAAAGTTTGTCTCCACTCATGCCTCATCAGTCCTTTACTTTTCCTTTAAATCGAACAATCCATTAATCCAAGTAGCAGCTAATTTATCTCAAAATGCAGAAGTTCATTGAATACTGAAAAAAACGCACCGTTAATGACAGCTCAACAAACTCACCTGCAGAATTAATAATAAATGAGTTGTTATTAAATCTATTCCCAGTGGGCTTCGTTAGGTCATTTCCCACTTCATAATGCAACATAAAGCACTGGACTGAACACTTTTCGGATACACAGGGAGCACGAAGGTGCAGCATCTGTGGATTTGAGTTATATTATATTATATTTTACTTACGAGCTTTCAGCTGTTTTTATTAGCTATTTGGGCACAGATTGGCGGCTAGCCCTACAAAACAGCCTTCCGTGAATTATTTTTATGATGGTGGAGTAATATTAGCCACCTCTGCTGTTCCAAGAAGTCACTACATTTACCATAACGCCACACCGTGTGAAGTAGCATCAGAGTCGAGGTGTGCTAACACTACCTGCTAAGCTAACTACCTGATGCTTACCTGATGACGAACCTGTCACATCCAGCTGTACTTCAGCCGCTACCAACGGTTTCTCGAGAGCGCTGTTTCGGTTGATATGGGACTCACGGTTCGGCACAGGACGGCAGAAACGTTCTTCGACTAACACTTGCCTCTATTTGCGTTCCGCAGCAAACTTTTTCGCTTTCAAAACAGATGTCAGTGAAAGTAAGCTATCAGTCGCTACACGCTAGCTCGCTAACTACTTTTAAGGCTAGGGCAGGAAGCAACAAGCGATTTTGACAGTTCGAGGAAATGTTGAGTGTGCTTCCCTCAGGGGGGGGTTACTACTATGGTGTAAACGTTAATAGAGTATTTATTATCAAATGTTTGAGCCACTGTAGATGCTACTGAAAGAAAAACACTTTTCGGTTAGAGTGAAATGTTACATGTAGTCCGTTTTACCATTGAATTCTACTTCTATTCGATAGAGAAGATAGCCCGCTCACCCTAACAGTAAATATGGTACAATCCAGAGTGAGCAAGGGAAGGGGTGGGGGTGGCTGTTACCTAGGAAACAACAGTGAATCTCCCTCGGGTAAAAAATGTGGCCACTGATTTATGAACCAGTGCCTGTCTGTCTGTCAAAGTAGCCTCCAATCAACAGGATAAAAACATTGAAGGCATTTGATAAAGCATATTACACTTTATTCTTCAAGATGCTCTGGTTAATCCAGATACGTTCTAACACTTTTTGACTCCAATAACCAATCATTTCTCAGGTAAATATCATTTTTATTAATCGTATTTTAGGGGGTATTTGTGCAAGAGTGATTTCAGAAACATTAACCTTTCCTAAAGTAATATTTGGATTATAGATATATATGCTGCATGGTGGTGTATGAATTTGTTATAGGCTAATGTTGTTGATGTTTCAGATCAGCTGAGAGAAATTATCCTGCTAAAATGATCACAATTCAGCCCACCGTCACTGCTTCATGTGCAGCAGAGCCTGCGCATTTTGCAGCGTAATTGCATACAGCTGGCTGGATTTAGCACTTTGTGACACACAGGGACCCGTTGTCAGCAAGGAGCGCAACGAGTCAACAAGGAGCAAGTCACAAATATCCCCGGAATGAGCAGAGAGGCACAAATTTAGCCCCACTGACTGCTGCCCACGCCATGTGCTGCCTATTGAGCACATGAACAATGAACATAGCCAGATCGCAGACTGCCATGTCAGGGCCGAGGCCTGCTTCAGTGGAATGCTACTTTGGATAAAGGCATCACAGTTTGTCAGGAGGCAGCAGCGTGATTAGATGAAGATTTTGTTGGTGGGCTGTGGTTTGATGACAACTGTAATAGTCAGAAACTCAAACAGTTGAGTGTTGAGTGTGTATAATTATGGGATCAAGTTAATATTTGTTATAATAATCTGACCAGGGTCAGACTGGTAACTGCACATACTTTTGGATTGGATTACCTCGTGTCAGATATTGGTCACACAGTTCAGCATGTGACATTTAATACCCATCACACTGCTGACATCTTCATATTTACAAAACATGATCTCAGAAGGGCAGCAGTAAAGGTCTCAAACAACACCAGGAGATTTCTCTTCTCCCTGCTCCTGTTCTTGTCAGCATTTTATCAAGAAAAAAAAAATAATCACCATGATCTTGCATGCTCATGTAGCATGTTATAACAAGCAGAAAAGTAAACTACATCAAATCACAGCACCACAATGGCGAGAATCTAATGATTATGAAAAACCGCTCACATAGGTCAAGCTCAACCCCATCACCCCCCTGAAGACCTAACATATCGATCCCAATGCAGAGGAGGCATTTGTAAAAAGAATTGAAGAAATCCTGCTGCCGGCATCCTTTTCTAAAAGTCCCTGAACGCCCACACTCTTCAAACACACTCATTGGGGCTCGCACTCATAAAAACGCACGAGTAAAAACAGAACAGGCTTCAAAAATATCAGTTTAACAAGACGCTTTCTTTATGTGACATGTTTGAAATGAAGTTGGAGGTTGAAAATGATGGAGGCGTAGCACTGATGCGCTTCAGTCATTTTCTCCTCCTGCGTTATCCAAGACAGAGTCATTTAAAGTCTGCACACTTGTATGAGCGTGAACAGCATTTTGGGTATAATTTGTGGGAAAAAAAGAAAGAAGAAGAATCTGCTCGGGAAACAGGTGGCTCCTTGTCGCCGGAGACACGGATTCATCAGAATTCAAAATAAATTATTTTCCTATGAGTCATAAATAAAGAGATGAATGTGCTCATATGTATGCATTCAAGAACATAATGTATTTGAAATACACACGTATACACACACACGCACGCGAGCAAAATAAAAAACAAAACAAAAATGACCCAAAGCAGATGCCTGTGTGTGTGTGTGTGTGTGTGTGTGTGTGTGTGTGTGTGTGTGTGTGTGTGCTGGGCTCATTAATGGGTTTTGACTCTACATTTGTTGCAGTAGCAGTCTGTAGAGTGGACCTTGGGATCAACTGAGGAGGCGTCAGGCAGAAAAACAACCGCAGTATCTACAGGACGCCACTGATAGTTTCTCTCACACAGAGAATAAAGAGAACGCTGTAGAAAACAGTTTGCACCCGCAGACAGAAATCAGTAAACAGACACTCATACGGGGAGAATACATGCAGCATACATGCACATCACCGCCGAAGCTCTTAAGTCTGAGGCACACATACACCTACACGCAGTGGGCAAAGCTCCACGTCAAGGACAGTATTGATCTTTTTAAATGAGAACGCACCTGATTATGAAAGCTTTTAACCCAAATGCCTAATGCAGCACAGGTTTAATGGAAAGAGCTTAAAGCGGATACAATACTCAGGAGAGAGGGCGCGTGCGTGTGCGTATGCGTGCATGGTGAGCGTCCACGTGCACTCTCCACTGAGGTGCAGTCAATTTGATTGATTGTTGAGAGATCACCTAGGCATTTTACTCCCGCCATGACGAGGATTTTACTGATCAAAGAGGCTTAAGTAATGATGGATTGAAGATGGTCCCGCCGTCATTAAAAAAAAACAACACCAACAAAATAAAAAACCCTCATCCCAAAAGTAGTGCACAGCACACCAGGCAAGACTATTCAAAATGCTGAGAGGGAACCATTTCGAGGCAGGCTCATTTGTTCACTGAGAAATGACCACTTATGCATCATCATAAATCATCTGCTGCAGCTGTTTGTTCATATTGCTTCATCCATTCCTCCAGGATCCCTTTCAGCATAAAGGCAGATGCTGCATAATCCATAATGAATCAGATTTTATGAAATTCACAAGGAAGTGAAATGTTTGACTCATCAGTTTATTATGCACCAGATATTTACGCCAGATTATGAAATGTATTTCCAGTAAACAGTGAAAGCTAACAAATGCATTGTTTGTTTTGTTGAACTTGAAAGTCAATATTTGGTATGACCACCTTTATTCTTCATCCTAGTTTGAACTCTTTCTTGTCATTGTTTTATTAAGTAGTCAGGAATAGTTCTCCAGGTTTCTTAAAGGACATTTAAAGCTCTTCTTTGGATGTTTCTGCTTTTTCTACTACTGTTCGCTGTCAAGACGATCCCCCACTGCTTCAATAATGTTGATGTCCAGGCTCTGGGGAGGCTAATCCATCGATTGCGTGTTTTTCTATCCAGGTATGCTTTTACTGCATTGGCACTGCGTATGGACTCATAGTCATACTGAAAAATGAAGCAGTTGCTGACCAGATGCTTTCCCAAGGGGACTGCATGGTGGATCAAAATACTTGGTGGATCCTACCATACTTTTCTGATTTCATAATTCCTTGAATTTTGACAAGATCCTCAGCTACACTGCCTGAAATGCAGCCAGTACAGCTAACAGCAGGGAGGAAAGCTAACAAATGCATTGTTTGTTGAGGTTTTGTTGAACTTGAAAGCCAATATTTGCTTCCAGTGATGCTTCCAAACAGGAAGTCCAAGGTTTAGCAGTGCCCCAAACCGTGACAGAGACTGCACCAAGTTTTACACATGGCTGTAGACGCTCACTGTTATGCATCCTGGCCTCCTTCACTCATTTTTTTAATCCAGTTCTTGTGTAATTTTTAATGCCTCAGCCTTTTCTCCTGTTTCCCTTCCTTAAGAATGTCTTCTTCACAGGCATCCTTGGACTGAGACCATTTCTGATGAGGCTTCAGTTGATCAGCAGTAGATGATCAACTAAAGGGCCAGATGCATCTCTCAGCTCCTGTGTCAGGTTTGCTGACATTTTTCCTATTTGGACATACATTTTGGATACTACTGTAGATAGTTTTTTAGTCCACTTGTCCAGTTTCCTCAGATTTTTTAAAGGACATACTGCACACCATGCAGACATGTTTTTTACTGATAGCTCTTTGGGAATCACCTTGTTGGTGCAAAAATACTTTTTTGATCCTGACAAACTGTTATCTTTGCAATTGTTTGTAGAATCAATTCTATAGAAATGGGATAAATTGTGTTCCTCTGACAGGCCAAAAGATACAATTTAAAACCTATTCTGTGCTGTCTGCAATCTGCAGACACAACACTGTTTCATCATTTAAGTTGGTACCTTTTTTACGTTTGAATAGGGCAGTATTAACCCCCCTCCAAAAAAAAAAAAAACAACTATGAAAATGGTCAGGACTAATGGACTGGGCTGATGAGTGAAAATGCAGGCAGTTCATGGAGAAAAACTGTGAAAGCATTCAGAATGCTGCAGGACTGTTGCTCGATAAAGCCTGGCTCCTTGGAAGTAAAGTATTAAGAAATAAAGGGTGGCTCAAGAAATAGACAGAGAGGGTTTGGAAGCGTTAATGTAGCACAGAAGGCGCCATTCTTACTAAAACAAATCCTAAACTTTAAATGCTAAAACTGATGCTTCCAAACAGAAAGTCCAAAAACAAATGGGGGATGTCATGGTGGCTACTTCCATCTTTTATATACAGACCATTGTTGTTGGTGTTTTTCTGCTATTCATTTTATCTTAGCGCAGTGGGGAAAGCACAGCCGATATCTTGGTTCCACTAAGTGTGCCACTAAGCAGTGTCATATTTTCATAGACCTGTCTTAAATTAAGTTCAGCAATCATTAACACACCCGAGCTTTCCTATTGTCACAAATCTGCAGTGAAAAGGACTGTTGATTGAAAGAGTGGCTCATATTTAAAACAGACGATTAGTGATCTGTTTGAATACATTGAATTAATTTTCGAATTTTTAAAAGAGACACCTCACAGCCACAGAATCACACGAATAATGGGAGAAATTTAAGGTTG